ATGGATGGATGAATATAAAAAATGTTAAGATAGCATAAAGAGAAGAATTATAAAGGCAAATGGTTTGGTTCTGACCCTGCTTTTAACTGCCACTCACTACCCAGGCAGGTATGGCATGATGATCTTAAGCATTCTATGAATCTCCATGCATGGAAAGTTCACACACATAGGTGCTTTGCTATATGTCTTCCTTTGTTTGAGAGGGGTCATTTAATCATATCTCACTCTTTTTCTCTCCCCATTTAGCGGCCTAAACTTGGCACCAGTGGCAAGACTGAGAACTACCTGGGAAAAACTTCCCAATAAATATGAAAAGCTATTCCAGGACCTACAAGACCTATTTGATCCTTCCAGAAACATGGCAAAATACCGAAACGTCCTGAGTGGCCAGAACTTACAACCTCCTGTAATCCCCCTCTTCCCCGTCATCAAGAAGGACCTCACATTCCTCCATGAAGGTGAGTACAGGTGGGCTCTCTCTGTTCAGGTGGGATCACAGAATGAACCCTGTGTGACTTCTTCTTCCTCCTCCCTTAACCTCAGGAAATGACTCTAAAGTAGACGGATTGGTCAACTTTGAGAAACTAAGGATGATTGCAAAAGAAATCCGTCATGTAGGCCGAATGGCCTCAGTCAACATGGACCCTGCCCTTATGTTCAGGACTCGGTGCGTGAGTTGTTGGCCATGGCATTTTTGGGTTAGAATAGTTAGAGTGAGCTTGCCCATGGTAGGAAAATCTGAATACTTAACTTCAGGAGTTACATTAGGATGTGCTGAGAGAATCACCCCCAAGGTTCAATTTGTAATGATGTCTCTCATTTTCACCCAGGGCACACATGATAGTAGTGCAAACAGCTTGTCCTTCAGAGAGTTTTAATTGAATGTTAGGTGCAAGAATTTACTTCTTATTTTCCAGAACACTGAGTCGCAGAGTTAGAACTTGTAATCGGTAGTATGAACATCATAATGTCCATACAGTGTGTTTATCTGACTGTAAAAAGCAATGATTAGTTCAGTGGAGGGAATGAACAAAAGTGTAGGCAACAGCCTTTTAAGCCAGAGAGATGTTTTGTAGTGGATGCGTGTGAGGTGACTATGCAGTTAATGTTTGTGGGCTTCTAGAACTGCTTGTCCAAAAGTCTGGTCCTTTCTTTCTGAGCTTGTGATCTTTCTGTCTCTTTCTACACCCATGCTTCAATCTCCGTGGCTCTCACTTGCAGGAAGAAGAAGTGGCGGAGTTTGGGGTAAGTGGCAGAGCATTTGCACACTTGGTTCTTGCTCAGCCTGTTGCATTGTTTTCTTATCTGCTCTGTTTTCTGATGCTTTGCTTTTTTTTTTTTTTTT